TGCAGTGGGTGAGGTGCAGTGAGTGGTAGTGGGTGAGGTGCAGTGAGTGGTAGTGGGTGAGGTGCAGTGGGTGGTAGTGGGTGAGGTGCAGTGGGTGGTAGTGGGTGAGGTGTAGTGGGTGAGGTGTAGTGGGCGGTAGTGGGCGAGGTGCAGTGAGTGGTAGTGGGTGAGGTGCAGTGGGTGGTAGTGGGCGAGGTGCAGTGGGTGGTAGTGGGTGAGGTGCAGTGGGTGGTAGTGGGTGAGGTGCAGTGAGTGATAGTGGGTGAGGTGCAGTGGGTGGTAGTAGGTGAGGTGCAGTGGGTGGTAGTGGGTGAAGTGCAGTGGGTTGTAGTGGGTGAGGTGCAGTGGGTTGTAGTGGGTGAGGTGCAGTGAGTGGTAGTGGGTGAGTTGCAGTGGGTGGTAGTGGGTGAGTGCAGTTGGAGGTAGTGGGTGAGGTGCAGTAGGTAGTAGTGGGTGAGGTGCAGTGGGTGGTAGTGGGTGAGGTGCAGTGGGTGGTAGTGGGTGAGGTGCAGTGGGTGGTAGTGGGTGAGATGCAGTGGGTGGTAGTGGGTAAGGTTCAGTGGGTGGTAGTGGGTGAGGTGCAGTGAGTGGTAGTGGGTAAGGTGCAGTGGGTGGTAGTGGGTGAGGTGCAGTGAGTGGTAGTGGGTAAGGTGCAGTGGGTGGTAGTGGGTGAGGTGCAGTGGGTGAGGTGCAGTTGGTGGTAGTGGGTGAGGTGCAGTGGGTGGTAGTGGTGAGGTGCAGTGGGTGGTAGTGGGTGAGTTGCAGTGGGTGGTAGCGGGTGAGGTGCAGTGGGTGGTAGTGGGTGAGGTGCAGTTGGTGGTAGTGGGTGAGGTGCAGTAGGTAGTAGTGGGTGAGGTGCAGTGGGTGGTAGTGGGTGAGGTGCAGTGGGTGGTAGTGGGTGAGGTGCAGTGGGTGGTAGTGGGTGAGATGCAGTGGGTGGTAGTGGGTAAGGTTCAGTGGGTGGTAGTGGGTGAGGTGCAGTGAGTGGTAGTGGGTAAGGTGCAGTGGGTGGTAGTGGGTGAGGTGCAGTGAGTGGTAGTGGGTAAGGTGCAGTGGGTGGTAGTGGGTGAGGTGCAGTGGGTGAGGTGCAGTTGGTGGTAGTGGGTGAGGTGCAGTGGGTGGTAGTGGGTGAGGTGCAGTGGGTGGTAGTGGGTGAGTTGCAGTGGGTGGTAGCGGGTGAGGTGCAGTGGGTGGTAGTGGGTGAGGTGCAGTTGGTGGTAGTGGGTGAGGTGCAGTAGGTCGTAGTGGGTGAGGTGCAGTGGGTGGTAGTGGGTAAGGTGCAGTGGGTGGTAGTGGGTGAGGTGCATGGGGGTAGTGGGTGAGGTGCAGTGGGTGGTAGTGGGTGAGGTGCAGTGGGTGGTAGTGGGTAAGGTGCAGTGGGTGGTAGTGGGTGAGGTGCAGTGGGTGGTAGTGGGTGAGGTGCAGTGGGTGGTAGTGGGTGAGGTGCAGTGAGTGGTAGTGGGTGAGGTGCAGTGGGTGGTAGTAGGTGAGGTGCAGTGGGTGGTAGTGGGTGAAGTGCAGTGGGTTGTAGTGGGTGAAGTGCAGTGGGTTGTAGTGGGTGAGGTGCAGTGAGTGGTAGTGGGTGAGTTGCAGTGGGTGGTAGTGGGTGAGGTGCAGTTGGAGGTAGTGGGTGAGGTGCAGTAGGTAGTAGTGGGTGAGGTGCAGTGGGTGGTAGTGGGTGAGGTGCAGTGGGTGGTAGTGGGTGAGGTGCAGTGGTGGTAGTGGGTGAGATGCAGTGGGTGGTAGTGGGTAAGGTTCAGTGGGTGGTAGTGGGTGAGGTGCAGTGAGTGGTAGTGGGTAAGGTGCAGTGGGTGGTAGTGGGTGAGGTGCAGTGGGTGAGGTGCAGTTGGTGGTAGTGGGTGAGGTGCAGTGGGTGGTAGTGGGTGAGGTGCAGTGGGTGGTAGTGGGTGAGTTGCAGTGGGTGGTAGCGGGTGAGGTGCAGTGGGTGGTAGTGGGTGAGGTGCAGTGGGTGGTAGTGGGTAAGGTGCAGTGGGTGGTAGTGGGTGAGGTGCATGGGGGTAGTGGGTGAGGTGCAGTGGGTGGTAGTGGGTGAGGTGCAGTGGGTGGTAGTGGGTAAGGTGCAGTGGGTGGTAGTGGGTGAGGTGCAGTGGGTGTAGTGGGTTGAGGTGCAGTGGGTGGTAGTGGGTGAGGTGCAGTGGGTGGTAGTGGGTGAGGTGCAGTGGGTGGTCGGTGGGTGTCACTTAATAAAAAAAGCTGAAGATTTCGTTCGGATTTTTAACCCCGGAGGGTTAGCCACCCAGGATAGCCCAAGAAAGTCAGTGCGTCATCGTGGACTGTCTAACTTATTTCCATTGGGGTCCTTAATCTTGTCCCCCAGGATGCGACCCACACCAGTCGACTAACACCCAGGTACCTATTTGCTGCTAGGTGAACAGGACAACAGGTGTAAGGAAACGTGTCGAAATGTTTCCACCCGCCGGGAATCGAACCCGGGCCCTCCGTGTGTGAAGCGGGAGCTTTAGCCACCAGGCCACCGGGCCACTGAATGTTATCCACGTTTCCCTGTACTGAAAGTTAACACAAATCACGATGTTATAGATGCACAGTTACGTTGTCATAAAGCATCCAGATGTTATAACATAGTACCAAAGAGAGAATATCAGATATTCACTGTGAAGGCAATAAATGCCTCCCACCAGCCATAAAGGGCATTACCAGTAGACCTCTGGTTGTCTTCAAGAGGGAGCTGGATAGATACCTAAAGTTGGTGCAGCATCAGTCGGGCTGTGGCTCGTACGTTGGACTGCTTGCTGCCAGCAGTAACAGCCTTGTTGATCAGGCCCTGATCCACCGGGAGACCTGGTCTTGGACCGGGCCGCGGGGGCGTTGATTCCTGGAATACCCTCCAGGTAGAAGTCAACAGTGATGTCAGTACACAGGCCTACCAGTCCTCCCTCACATACATACACATTACACTTGTTCATATACCTCACTTAAGTGTCACTGATTTTGCTGATATTCATTTCCATGAATGAGTTAGCTTCTACTGGCGTGTTGAAGGTATACCTGGAGAGAGGATTATGGGAATCAACGTTCCTGTGACCCGGTGGTGCAGGGCCTGATCAACCAAGCTGTTACTGCTGGTCGCATGCAAGCTGACATATGAACCACAGCCCGGCTGGTCAGGTACTGACTTTAGGTGCCTGTTCAGCGCTTTCTTGAACACAGCCAGGGGTCTATTGGTAATCCCCCTTACGTATGCTGGGAGGCAGTTGAACAGTTTTGGGGCCCCTGACACCTATTGTGTTGTCTTTCAGTGTACTTGTGGCGCCTCTGCTTTTTATTGTGGAAATGTTACTCTGGCGGGACGTTAGTGCCATCAGTCTCTAGTTCTTTGCAATTACTTTACTGCCACCTTTGTGGAGTGGGGCTGTGCCTGTTGTTAGTGAGTGTGTTCTTGACGAACACAGAGTTCCACAAGTCTAGGCCTGGGCAGAGTACATGAACATGTCGTTTATTGTTTTTTTCGAAGTCTTGTGGTGTTAGAGTAATATCATAGGTTTTTTAATTGACCAGATTTTGAGTCTTGGTCACAAAAATTTTATTTAGATTGTCGATTCTTAGTCTGGTTAATGGCTCACTAAATGCTGAGTCATACTGGGTCTTTAGTATCTCACTCATTTCTTTGCTGTCACCTGTGTAAGTTCCTTCTTGTCTAAGCATGGGCCCAATACTGGATGTTGTTTTTTGCCCTAGATGGCTCTAAGTTCTTCCTGAGTTTCTTGTCTTGTATGATTGCTTGAGCTGAAGTTCAATATCTGCTATTTCTCTGACCAGTGCCCCCTTTTGTATTGCAGATGCACTGGCCCCCTTCAGCAGCTCTGTGATTCTTCGCCTTTGCTTGTATAGGGAGCATCTCTCTCATTCTAGTTTACATAAGATTTCGTTCGGATTTTTAACCCTGGAGGGTTAGCCACCAAGGATAACCCAAAGCAGTGCGCCATCGAGGACTGTCTTATTTCCATTGGGGTCCTCAATCTTGTCCCCCAAGATGCGACCCACACCAGTCGACTAACACCCAGGTACCTATTTGCTGCTAGGTGAACAGGACAACGGTGTGAGGAAACGCTTCGAAATGTTTCCACAATGCCGGGAATCGAACCACGGGACCCCTCTTCGTTTTTCATAAGGGAATATGCCTTGAGTATACCTCAAGTTTGGATCCGTGTTGTTTAGGATATATTCCCATTTTGTTTCATTTAGGACATGGTTGACTTGATCCCACTGTATGTATTTGTTACTGAAGCTGAATTTGAAGACACCCTCAGGAGCCCTGCGAATACATTTCTGTACTTCTATTATGTTGTGATACTGTTATATTTTGTATCAGATCTCCATTGTTGGTAATAATTAATAAAGTTTGTGGAGGGCACTATAACATGTCCTACCAACACCACTCTCTGAGGTGCAGCCTCAGGCACCTCACCAAAGACACTCATTGGTAGATGGGGGGAGAACAAAGTTTGATAATCTGACATGCTCAAAGTTACACACACAAGTATTAAGAACTGGAATCAAACTGCCAGTGTCTGACCTGAATGAGATTAAATTCAGAGGCAACAGAGGGAGCTGCATCAGCTTCAAAGACAGCTTGTGTGGAGCTGGAGGGGGGGGGAGGATGGAAGTGTTGGGGTGGGAGGGGAAAGTTTTTTTTTAGCTATTCACTGGTTAACAAATGATGAACATATGATAAATAATAGTAATATGTGGTAAGTGGAATCAAGTACACTGTATACGTTTCCCTTTAGTGTCAAATACTTTTGAATAAATTTGAGATGAGAACTGGACGATGTTTGGGTCTGCCATTTCTCATGTTGTGAGTGACTTGATTCACTGTTGTAACCATGACACAGTTGTAACCAAGACTCACATGGATTTAGGGGTTAAAATTAATTATATAAAATTAATTTAAATTCTGTTGTAAGATCATTAGATTAATATTGGAAGGATAATGAGGCTGGCATTTTCTTTTGTTTCAGGCAGAATACCAGAGCAGTGAAGGCAGCCTGTCTGAAGTCACCACAGAGTGAAGTAGGGAAGGACTCACTGCCCTCCATGCACTGCCCAAGCAGTGCCCAAGTGTCTAATGGATCAGACCATCTCATGCCTTAAACACACATGCTACCTTTTATGCATTTATGAAAGATGATGTCATATACAGTGACGTGATGTAACTCTGCAGTGTGTTAGTGATGGGAACATGATAGAGTATAGTTGCTCAGCATGCAGCTTCATGTGGGAAAGATGGCATAGGTGTTGCTGTTAAAGTAAGTGGAGAGAAAGGGCAGACTGTGATGGAGGTGAGGACCCGCCGTGTGCTGCTGGCCAGTTCTGAAAAATGGTCGGCGCCCTGAACCGCCCCTGGAGGTGACCTGACCAGGATGCCCGGCGGGGAAGGGGAGCAGGGGCAGCAACATCATTCACCAGGTGATGGTGACAATGGTGGCGATGGAAATGACGGCGATGGAAATGGCGGGGGCAGCAAGAACTCAAAGGGATCTGACTATTACTCATCAGATTCCGATGAGGAAGGGCGGCGCCGCAGGCTGGGACCTCACCTTCACCAGGAAGACCTGGATCCCGAGGATTCCCTGGCCCTCGACTCGTCCTATCCCCCCAACGGAGAATATGCTGACGATGACGAGGAAGAAGATGCTATTGAGGTGACAGTGGAGACACTCATGGGCGACTCTTACCGTGTTCGAGTCTCTCAGTGGGACACTGCTCTTGGTCTGAAGGGACTCCTGTATCGAACACAAGGTAAATCTGAGCATATATCTTACACTCATGTACGTAGGTAAGTCTGCTTCTATCTATTAGGGATGTATTACGAACACGGGTAAGAATGGCCTGTAACCTGGTCATAATGAGTTTTTTTCAGCAAACAAACTCAGCAGTAATATTTAACTTATATTTCTTTTACCAGATATATATATATATATATATATATATATATATATATATATATACAATTATGTACACTTATGTACAAGAGTTGAATATAAGTGTACCACATGGTGACAAAGAATGACAAACAGAAGCCAGAGAAAGGACCCTAATCAACCAGCTGCTAGGCGAGTCTGGCAAATGCTGACTCTGAGTGAACCACATTGTCTCAAAATTTGGCAGGCTCACCTGTGATTGGACAATGAACCAAGGCACTGATTTAGCAACGAGTATCCTAAAAATGGTTAAACCCTTAGCACCCAGTTTGCTGGTTGGGAAGCAGCCTATATGGGAGTGTGCACATGTACACCAAATAAATTACAGAATATTCTTTGCATGCCACACCCCCATCCTAAAAGTGGTCAGGACTAAGCTTCCACCTCCATGGGTAGCCTGCCGCCATGACACTGAACAAAGGAATCGCCTTTCCCCTCAATCATCCAACTCATTAGATAGGGCTCAACTTTTCTCAAACATAGTCAAACTCTATCCCAGAGCGGGACAGTGGACAGTAGAGCCAACACTGGTTCAAGACACTCGTGGACGGTAGCAGAATGTCCCTTCACCAAAAAAAAAAAAAAAAAAAAAAAAAAAATTAAAACATATTTTATATAAACAAAAAAAAAGGGGAGGGGGAGAGCTAGGCTACTCATATAGTCCCTAACACATCCTAACCTAAATTTAAATACTGGAAAGGGAGAACCACAACATGTGTTGTGGTTCTTCAAGGAGTTGTGGTAGACTAGTGGATTGTGGTCACTGTAGAATGTGACCACTTGAACTGACTGTCCCATGTAGACCTCGAAATGGTCTAATACCAGTATCAGAGCGAGGGTTTCTTTTTCAGTGGTGGAGTAGGCCCTCTGGTGAGGTTAATACTTGGCCGAGAAGTAAGCCACAGGCTGCAAGCACTCTTTCCCCAGATTTTTGCAGGAGTACTGCCCCGACCCCTGACTCGCATGCATCAACCTGTAATGTAAAGGGTTTTGAAAAATCAGGAAACAGGAGAATGGGTGCAGTACAAAGTAGCCATTTGGCTTTGTTAAAAGAGTCGTGGCACACTAGGGTCCATTAAAATTTGGTTTTATGACTGATAAGTGAGGTTACGGGGGAGGGTTTTCACAGAAACCCTCATAAAGGCTCACTTGGACAACAAAATATGGATCCCAAGTTACAACCTATACAGATGTGACATAGTGAACAGACAAGAGGGAAGGGTTGGCCCATATATCACAGTCACTTACATGCTCAGAACTACTAAATGCCTCAAATGATGTAGTTGAAGTTTTAGCAGTAAGGATCGAGAACCAAAACCTGGCCATTGTGGTTGTATACAAGCCTCCGGATGCAACGTCCCAACAATTCCAGGAACAGCTTTTGAAAATTGACCACTGTCTGGAAAATCTTCCAGCTCCTGCCCCGAACATCTTGCTCCTGAAGGATTTCAACCTAAGGCACCTAAAATGGAGGAATACAGCAAATAATGTGGTAACAGAGATAACACCAGGAGGCAGCTCAGATGAAAACTCGCACACACACATGAGCTTTTAAATCTCTGCACCAAATTCAGCTTAAACCAGCAAATAATAGAGCCTACAAAATTGGAGAATATGCCGCACCTCATCTTCACAACAATTATGATCCGATACAAAATATCATCATATCAAAAACAATATACTCAGATCACAACATAATAGAGGTCCAGACCCAGACTGACTAAATATGATCAGTCAAGAGGGAGCCTTCACCAAATTCAACTTCAATAACAAAAACATAAGGTGGGACCAAGTAAACCGAGTCCTAAGTGATATAAACTGGGAAGATAGACTAATCAACATGGATCCTTCCCTATGTCTAGAACAAATTAACTCTGTGGCACTTGAGGTACGCTCAAGGCATATTCCCTTAAGGAAAAGGAGATGTAAACTAGAAAGAGAAAGGCGCTCCCTATACAGGCGAAGGCAAAGAATAACAGAGTGGCTGCAAGAGGCCAATATAGCTGCAATACAGAGGGAGACACTGGCCAGAGAAATAGCAAACATCGAACTAAAGCTAAAGGAATCTTACAGGAGTCAAGAAACACAAGAAGAACTAAAAGCCATAAATGAAATTGAAAGAAACCCAAAGTATTTACTTTCTTATGCCAAATCAAAGTCTAGAACAACATCCAGTATTGGCCCCCTACTTAAACAGGATGGGTTCTACACAGATGACAGCAAGGAAATGAGTGAGCTACTCAAGTCCCAATATGACTCGGTTTTTAGTGAGCCAATACATAATTTGGTAGACAGACACCTATCTGATATTATCCTGACGCCAAATGACTTCGAAAGGGGCGATAAATGACATGCCCATGCACTCTGCCCCAGACCCAGATTCATGGAACTCCGTGTTCATCAAGAACTGCAATAAGCCCCTATCACGTGCTTTTAACATCCTGTGGAGAGGGAGCATGAACACGGGGGTCGTCCCACAGTTACTAAAAACAACAGACATAACCCCACTCCAGAAAGGGGGCAGTAAAGCAATAGCAAAGAACCACAGACCAATAACGCTAACATCCCGTATCATAAAAATCTTTGAAAGGGTTCTGTGAAGCAAGATCACCACCCATCTAGATACCCATCAGTTACACAACCCAAGTCAGCATGGGTTTAGAGCAGGTTACTCCTGTCTGTCCCAACTACTGGACCACTCTGACAAGGTCCTGGATGCTCTAGAAGACAGAATGCAGATGTAATATACACAGACTTTGCAAAAGCCTTTGATAAGTGTTAAAATGGTGTAATAGTGCACAAAATACATGAAAAGGAATAACAGGAAATGTCAGTAGATAGATCTATAATTTCCTAACAAATAGAATACAAAGAATGTTAGTCAACAGAGTAAAGTCTGAGGTGGCTGCGGTGAAAAGCTCTGTTCCACAAGGCACAGTGTTCGCCCCCATCTTGTTCCTCATCCTTATATCCGACATAGACAGGGATACAAGCCACAGCACCGTGTCTTCCTTTGCAGATGACAGCTGACTTTGCATGAGTGTCCTCCACTGAAGACACTGCAAGACTTCAGGCAGACATCAACCAAATCTTTAAATGGGCTGCAGAAAACAATGTGAAGTTCAATGATGAGAAATTTCAATTACTCCGTTATGGAAAACGTGAGGAAATTAAAACTTCATCGGAGTATAAAACAAATTCCAACCACACAATAGAGCGATAAACTAATGCCAAAGACCTGGGGGTGATTATGTCAGAGGATCTCACCTTCACGGACCATAACATTGTATCAATCGCATCTGCTAGAAAAATTACAGGATGGATAATGAGAACCTTCAAAACTAGGGATACCAAGCCCATGGTGACACTCTTCAGGTCGCTTATTCTATCTATGCAGGTGAAATTGCTGACCTAGAAAATGTACAGAGAACCTTCATGGCATGCATAACTGCGATAAACCCCCTCAGTTACTGGGAATGCTTGAAGTTCCTAAACCTGTACTCCCTAGAATGCAGGAGGGAGAGATACATGATTATATACACCTGGAAAATCCTAGAGGGACTAGTACCAAACTTGCACACGAAAATCACTCCCTATGAAAGCAATAGACTCGGCAGACGATGCAACATCCCCCCAATGAAAAGCAGGGGTGCCACTAGCACGGTAAGAGGCAGCACAAGACTGTTCAACTGCCTCCCAGTATACATCAGGGGGTTTATCAACAGACCCCTGGCTGTCTTCAAGCAGGTACTGGACAGGTACCTAAAGTCAGTACCTGACCAGCTGGGCTGTGGTTCGTACGTTGGATTATGTGCAGCCAGCAGTAACAGCCTGGTTCATCAGGCCCTGATCCACCATGAGGCCTGGTCATAGACCGGGCTGTGAGGACGTTGACCCCCAGAACTCTCTCCAGGTATACAACATTTGCAAAGTTCTTACAGAATCGTCTGTAAAACCCTACCATCCCTAAGAAAAGCTGGAGGGATTTCCTGTCATGAGGTACTGGGTAATTTTTAATGGCAAAGTTTTAGCAAATTTAAGGGCCACTTTACCATTATCTACTTCATGGCCCCAAAAAAGTAATAATAGATTGTCCAAAAGATAAGTTCCATTAAATTAAGTTAATTGGAAACTCTGAAATTTCTCAAAGACAGCTTTAAGTCTGGATATATGTTGGTTCCACATATCAGACACCACTATATTATCTAGATAAGCTGCCATACCTTCAAGTCCTTTAATAGCCTGATGGATCAGCTTTTGAAACAATGCTGGCGAGTGTTGCATCCCAAATGGGGTTAATGTATATTGATAATGACCTGGAATTATGAAGGCAGACCTCCCCTTCACCTTGTCTGTCAGAGTTTAGACACAAAAGTAGCCTTACCCACAAAGTCCATTACATCATCTGAACATGACAGAGAGTAAGCATCTTGAATAGTGACTTCATTCACCATCCAGTAGTCTGTACACATTTGAAACCCTCCATCAAACTTCTTAACAAGGATGCACAGTGAAGCCCATGGACTGGATGACTCCTCCACTAATCCGCGTTCTAACAGAAATGCTACCTCCTGCTGAAGTAGCCTCTGTAAATCTAGCTTTTAAAGTGTGGCCAGGTATAGGCTCCTGCACCAGCATCTTGTCTCCTGGACTGAAGGAGCAAAACTTTGAGTTTCTGTCATACCTCCGTTTCATAGTGTTTTGAGCAGTTTTTAAGTTAGCCTTAGCCAGTTGACGAGCCACCTGCAAGCGCCTTCTCCCATCCATCCTTCCTTGAGCACTCACAGAGCACCTCGTACATTGTGCTCAAGGATTAGC